GTTCTGCTGTTCATATATTGTGTGAATCATATAGAGAAGTGGCGTCAGAGCTGAGCTACACCCTAGTCCTCTATGCACAGTCACTGTAGAGCGAAATAACTGAAAAACTCAAGAAACATCAGGAGATGGGTTGACCTTTAGTTAAAGAAGTTAATACCTTTTTTATTTTCTATGAATCAGAGAAGAACATGACAAAGAGCTAAGAGACACCTTGATAAGGAAGTGGTCTCACACAGAAAGATGCTAGACAGCCCTCGCAGATGGTTTCAGGGTAACTTCTTGTTACCAAACACCACAAACACACAATTTGACTCTGTGATTCTTTCTAGCAATAGACAAGCGCTGGTTACAACCTGTTGGTTTGTTGCACAACCAGAAAAATTCAGGAAATCAACATGCAGCAGAAAAAACTAAAGGATAAAAAAAATCCTCTGGGATCTGCAAAAAAATGGCTGATTTGATATTAAAGATAAAATAAGACTTTATTGATCTCACAACAGAGAAATTCAGTTGTGACATCAGCTCTAATAAACAACAGGAGGTGCAAAAGAAGGAAAAGGTGCATGAAAAATGTAAGTGTGCAAAGTCAGTCTAAAACAAATATATATTTACAAATATGTATATATACATATATATGAGGGCTGCAACTAACGATTTTTTTGCAAATCGATTAATCTGTTGATTATTTTTTCGATTAATCGATTAATAATCGGATTGCAAAAGGTTCCTAAAAGAAGAATTTTTGCTAAATTAAACAAGGTGAAACTAAAATGTTTCCATTTTAAGGTGTTCTGGATACGGCATATTGACAGACGAAAAAGATTTTTTATCTTATATACAAAATGTTAACATATTTTGTTAAATAATTTTGGTATAATTACTGCTCTAAGTGGGTCGCTCTGTCAGCTAAAGGCATGTTTTAGTGTATCTTCACTCAAGTTAACGATTAATTGATTAGTAAATTAAGGGTTTTATTAGGAATCTTTGTGTTAATGTTATAATAGGGTGAAGTTTTGTTTGTGTTTGTAGTGCGTCTCATACGGACCACACCTACATTCTGATTTTCCACATTTGGCTACCAACATCTTAAATATCTGATGTTGCTTAGACTGGAACACCACCAGGTGAAACAACATAGATAATGAAATATTTTTTTTATGAAATGTATTAATCCTCAAACCTGCAGATCTGTTGAGAGGAGAGGCTGATTATTCATTGCAAAATGGAGGTGGGGTGTTTGTCTTCGGGCGAAGAAGCAGATTGCAGACATTAAATAATAATTAATGAGTCACTGCCAAGGGCCTATTTTTCTTGCTGTTGTGTTTTTTTTTTTTTTCCTTCTTGTTTTTTTAAAGGATAAAACAAGATGGGAATTTTCACTAGTCACAATAATCGTGTGATTTGGTTTTAATTTTCATCTGTGACACGTTTGAGCCCTCTGTGTGCAACATTCAGGGTCAAACTAAGCAAGAATGCAATTATTATTCCAAATCTTAGCTGCAGGATAAAATATAAACATAGAGTTAAAATAAGACATGATGATCTACTGTTGAGTTAAACAGGTTCTATGGCTTATTTATCTCCCAATTCCCTAATCCAGGGGATCTAAAATTTTATCACTAAGTACCAATGAAATAAAAGTTATTTTTCTGTAATTTCAGACTTCTTCTTTTTTTTTTTGCTGTAGTACATCAGGACTAGGAAAAAGACAGCTCTCAATCACTGGATATTTTGATAACTGGATCAATAAATACTAAGCCTTGCGTTTAAATTCAGTTTTAATTTCAAGCCTTTATCTAGAGAAAATGATCAGAGAAAATTCCCTGAAGCTGTAATTTGGATCGGGGAAAGTCGAAAGCTTTCCACAAATCCTGACCTTAAAAATTAAGAAGGAGTAAAACACTTTATTTGAACTGTTCAAGATTGTTGTCTCATTAATTCTTTCTTCGAAGCGGTATGATGAACAAGCTGCTATAGCATTTGACAGTACAGATAGCAGAGCTTTTCCATCAATTAATTATTTTACAAATCAATTAATGAAGCCATTGTACTTCCAATGAAATTTTATTATCTAAATCAAAGTATGCTCAGTAGGGGGTTTAACTGAAAACATATTCACATTTTAACTGCATTAAAAATGGCTAAAACAGTTCAAAAGTCCACTTAAGGTTTTAAAATAGTACTTGAGGAGTTTGAGTAGTTCTGTATGTAGCATATTTAAAGAGAAAGAATGGTGCTGAGTTTAGCTTAATTAAACTCTAAGTGCTCTGTGTGACATTTTGTAGAGTCTATACTGTAGTAAACATGCAATGACTAAATGAATTGACCATTATTTTAATTAACTGATTAATCGCAATTAATACAAGTAATTGTTTCAGCCCTTCCAATTTTAAAATCCAATTTGTTTACAATTTTAGATGGAGAATAAATGCATTTAAGTTCTACATTTAATGGTAAATACCTTCAATATTTGATCCCTGTGAGCTATTTACCCACATCAAGCTATATTCTCAATTTATTTTCTATACCCTCCAAAGGGCCAGGGGATGGTAAGTGCTGATAACTAGCAGTCCGCATCACACGGCAAAAAAATAAATAACATCATGCAGGTATACACTCACACCTATTTAGAGAAAGCAATGATCCCAACATCCATTAGGAGAACTCTATAAGGAGGCCCCAGTGAGGGATTAGAACCCATGATGACCTTTGAACCCATGTCTCTGAACAAACAACTGCACCACTATGTAGCACAAATTAAAAAAAATAAAAGTATTTTGTTTTTTAATTCAAAACCATACAACGTTGTTAGAAGTTTAAGGTTCTACCTGTATTTGGTCCTGGTTAATATGAAGCAAGAACAAGTGAGGGTGACTTAAGTGTTCTCTAATTGTATGGAGCACAGAAAGAGGCAGTGTTGCCCCGTCCCAGCTATTGCTAGACAATGCCAATCAGTTGGTCAAAGGAAAGTTCTAACAAATAAAAGTATAACTTTTGGCAAATATTTTAATTTTCAAATGATCAAACACAAAAAGATCAAAAAATGGTAACTGATGTAGCCAACTCTGAAACTAGTTATTAGTCGGTAGCAACATATCCTCTGGGTTGCACCCTAGTAATACCAAAGACCACCAGTGGCCCTTCCAACACATTTACAAAACCACATCCATAATAAACAGGCCAGGGCAGAGCTAGATGGGGGGCCAGGGGTGGCCATGGCTACCCTTAACCAATTAATGGCCACCCCTGTGACCACCTCTACCATTTTTACCTCTAATACAACAACAGTTAGCTGACAACAAAAACATTGCTGTTAATTATGCATATCAATATAATAACATTAAAGATGATAAATACAGAATTAATGCTCTTTTCAGAACTAGATTTTGTCTTATATAGGGTAAGGAGAAAATTATGTCTCTGCAAGTCATCTAGGGATCTTCACTGAAATCAGAGATGAATAACTACTTTAATAACAAGTAATTCATTGAATGTAGATACAAGGGGTGTTCAATAAGTAATGCCCATGGCCCACTTCCAGATGTTTAATCGAGTTGAAATTTTGCGTGTGACTTATTTCATTTCAGACTTTACTCAGTTGAAACACCTGTAAGTCAGAAACCACAAGTAGTTCAGGGCTGTAATTTGCTATTTAATCTATAGAGATTTAAATAACTTCACATACAAAATTTCAGCTGGATCAAACATTTGAAAAAGGGTCACTTAAATATAAATTTTATGCAGAATGATTATTAATAAAAGTATGTAAGAAATCAAGGGCGTAGGTTTGATTTCAACTTTGGTAGGGACACTATTGGTCTTCAGTTTCATTGGTCTGAGGTCACTGGTCCTATGCAAAAATATGCATGCTCTATTTTTACTCTTAATGTGAGCATCAGGGCACATTTTGTTTAAAGAGAACAGCAGGATTTTTGCTACATTAATACAATCCAGAACTACTCAAGAGGAAAAGTTTCTGTGTCACCTAGTTTCATTTAGTAAAAAATCTTCTATGAGGAAACTTTGGTTAAAAATGATCAATTTGCAATATAAACATTAATTGCAGCCATAATTTTATGGTAACATTCCAAACACATTTCTTCCATAATACAGCACTGAAAGGCAGCTGCTTCACCTTGAGGCTGCCCTGCATCATTATATCTGCGTTTCCTACAATCATATAACGTTTCTATTATACAAGTGCATTTTTAATAGTAAAGAATTAAATGTAACTCAATCTTTTATCATCATCTTATATTGCTTACTGTCTGTTTAAATAGCTCCGTATGCATCAATGCTGTATTATAAATTATAAACATGTTGTTCACATCGAATTATTGGTAGCGACAAGTAGATTGATCCAACATTTTTGTAGGGACATGTCCCTATGGTCCCTATGCAAACCTACGCCCATGTAAGTAATGACGGAACGCAAAACTGAAATAATTTTATCCACTATACTTTTTATCTAGAAAGCACAGATGTTTAAATATATGCATCTATTTGTTAGCAAAGGCTGTCAGAAAGTATTTAGAAAATATGGATGTTGTGATTGTTCATTTTCCTTTTAGAACAATGAGGATTGACCCTGAGGTTCAGGCACCTATTATTATTGCCTGGCCACCCTTATTAAAATTTTCTGGCTACGCCTCTGTTTGAATGAGGATGACAGGCAGGAGCAGGAACAGGAAGTAGACCCAGAAACACCTGCATCGCAGGTAAATGACCTAATAAGTGCTTAAACAGAAAGCTGCTTTACTCAAAGGCAGAAATGTTCACAAATATATGTAAAAGACAAACGAATTCTCTTTGCGTTTACAAAAAGCAGCCACATATTTAAGGTAAAATAACGCAGATTGTGTGTAAGCTGCTAAAACTGAGGCGATTTCCTCATATAAGTCTAATTTACCAACCATCTGAGTGTTATCGGCTCATAATATAAGTTTAGGCAGAGGAGCAACAACAGGTGTCACCATCGGCTCTTCCGCACTCGCACTCACCTTTGTGTAGTACAACATCCACAGCTCATAGAGCCTTTCCTTCGATGCCATCCCTCCGCCTCTATGGTTGCTCATCTGTTTGGATCTCTTTATTCTTTTAAAGATTCATACGAGCGCCGTCTGTCTGAAGTTGTCTCCTAAAGGCAGGGGCGCGCGGGGCGCTCCTGCCAACCATTCCTGCAAATATCCAACAGACGCACACACACACACACAAAAAAAAAATCCGAATGATGAAATAAATATTAAAAAGTTATCTCTGTATCGACGCGCAAAGTTGTCTGAAAACGCCAAAAACAAACAAGCCGCCGCTCCGAACACTTGCCGAAACTGTGCAAGCAGACAGAGGAGGAAAATGCGTGGAAATGCACGCGCGGAGAAACACCCATGTATGTCCGCAGTTACCGAGAGCTTGTTGCTGTGTTTTTATTGGAGTGAATCCCCCACGGGAGAAGCGACAGATGCCATCCGTTTAGGGCTCAGAAAGCACAGCGCTGCCCGTGTGGGTCCAGAGCTTTCAAAGGAGCGACTGATCATCAACTACTGTTGACAAGAGCAGCAGTTCAATGGGAAGTTCACTGGAGATCATGATCACAGGTAGGCTGATATTCTTAAAGACACATGCACTAATAAGCAACACCGCCTGATATTAGCAGGAAGTTAGAAAAAGGAAAACAGACACAGAGGAGCTAATTATTCACATAAAAAAAAAAAAATAAACATCTTTACAGACTAAGAATTTAGACCTTTTTTATTTTTTTTCAACAGCTACAGCTCATAATATAAAGATAAACAATCAAATGTCGAACTTTAGACCAGAGGCATAGCCAGAAAATTGTTATAAGGGTGGCCAGGCAATAACTAATGTACACTGAGGGGTGGCCAAAAGCAGATAGGCACCAAAAGCTCACGGTCAATCTACACTGTTCCTACAGGAAAATTAACGAGCAAAACATCTATATTTTCTAAATAAAGACAAACTATACTTTCCCACAGCCTTTGCTAACATATAGATGCATATATTCATAAATCTGTGCTTTCTAGATAAAAGGTATAGTGGATAAAATTCTTTCAGGTTTGAGTTTTGGGTGAACATCTTTTCCATTGTCAGTACTTATCTACTTTTATAAGTAATCATTCTGCATAAAATTGACATTAACAAGTACTTATATCTACATAAAATGATTAATTAATCTTTTATTAAAATAGTTGTTTATCCATGATTTCACTGAAGACTCCTAGATGACTTGCACAGACGCATCATTTTCTCTTTACCCATTAAACACTAAATCTATTTCTGAAAAGAGCATGAATTCTGTACTCATCATCTTTAATGTTAGTATATTGATGTGCATAATTAACCACCGTGTTTTTGTCATCAAGTAATTGTTAATATATGATAATTTAAATATTTTGGATTATCCACTTGAGAGTATTACTGTTGCCACTGTCTGTATTAGAGGGAAATAAGTGGTAGGGGTGGCCAATTACTGGCTAAGGGTGGCCATGGTCGACCCTTGGCCCCCCATCTAGCTCCGCCTCTGCTTTAGACTCCATTATATAATAGACCATTATTACTTATTATTATGTTGTAATAAACTGGACTGTAATCAAAGCAGGGGTTGAATTTGGAAATGATGCAAAAATCATGATGAAAAAATTATTTCATTGCAATAAGATGAGAGGATTGTCAGATACTGGCTTGACCAACTCAGAGATCCACAATGCAGATTGGAGAACCTGTGAACTGTCACAAATAATATATAGAACACTTCTGCAACCATATGGAATAGAGTATTTTTGGTCAGATAGACTTAAACTATTTAAATTTAATTATTTATTTAATTTAAAATATTTATTTTTTAAACATGTAAAATGAGTGATAGAACTAACAGTACGCATTCTACCATAAAATTTACCTTAAGAGCAGGTGGTGGCAGTGTATATATATAAATATATATATATATATATATATATATATATATATATATATATATATATATATATATATATATATATATATATATATATATATATATATATATATAAAATCAGAAAGCATGTAATTACTACTAAAAAATAAATAAATGTAAAAAACGTGGAATTAAAATATTAGTAGTATTAACCATCTACATTTTCTAAATAAAGACAAAAAAATATAGTATTAAATACAGTATAAAATAGGGTATAAATATAGCATTAATATAGTACTATATATAATACTAATTCTATTATAGTATTAGTATAAAATATGGTATTAGAAATACACTTATTTGATTTTATTTTTAATGCACCGTCTTATTTGTTCATTTAAAGAGATACAACGGTCTATTTGTTGATTGGAAACATTAGTTTTCAAAACAATCACATGAGAAGGCAAAAGGCCATCTCTATCGATGTGCTTGACAATCGATTGTACGGCCTCCTCTCTCAGGCCAGTTAATGGATCACAGACCGAATCGAGCGGCGTGTGGAGATAAACATGGAGAGAAACGTTGGGTCGCTGCAGGAGCAGGCGTTAAAGAGAAAAGAGAGGCTTAAAGCGCTAAGAGATAAAAAGCTTCACGTAAGTGTCTCTTCTAGTTTGGTATAATCTGTTGGAGCAACATAGTTAAGAAAACAACCTTTTATTTGCGAGGTTAGAGGTTAGATTAGCACAGTTAGCTTTTAGCTAACATTAGCAAATACATTAAAGAAAGTAAGAGCAATATTATCCGCTTTTATTTAGATACACTGGTGTACATTGGTATGTACAAGTTATTCGATATTAAATTGAGAAGAGTTCAAGTTTAATTACAAGTTGTTCTGATTTTGTAATTGTCAATAATGTAGTGCTGATTTGCTAAGCTAAATGCTGAAATCTTTATTTATCGATCTGTCCATGACTGCACAGGTTAAGGTCATCTGCATTCTTAAAGGTTGTAGATATATCTGTATTCTATTTTTTTTTTCTTTTATGAACTCAACGTCCAACACCAACCCTGTTTGAGAGAAATCATAAATCAACGACTTGCTTTATACTTTCATACTAACGTTTACTGCAGAAATTGTTAAAATTTGCTGTACCAGTGCTACCAATTATCAGTTCAGAAGTAATCTTATTGAACTGACTCCATTTGGTGTAATCTTTCTATAAATACAGTTGTACAAGGATTAGCTAAGCTTTTACCATCACAGGAATAATCAATCAATCAATCAATCTTTATTCCAGAGACAAAAAGGTCCATAGAGAAAAAGAAAACAAAGTTAACAATATATATATGTAAAAAAGAGAAAAATAAAATAAACATGACATATTCACCGAGTCACAAATAAATGATGACGCCAATGATTCCACAATCTTGAGTAGAGTCTCACCGTACTAAAAATAGGATTTACTAAAATTGCAATTATATTATTGCATGACACAGATACTCTACACACGCATTTATACATGAGATTCCTGAGCACAGCTGCACATGTGGGAACAGCATTATGTACAAACATATGGCTAGCACTGCTCCATCTAGGCACTTTGTGTAGTAGCCTCATGCCGTCATTGTATGCTACATAGAGTTTCTGCAGGCTACTTTTTTTGTATCTTCGCCACAGATGGGCTGTGTAAAATGAAGTACAAAAAGCATTAAAAAGAGCTATCTTCACAGCGGATGAACACATACCAAACTTTCTGATCAGAGCATTAACTTGTGCATACATCATACGATACTGCCTAAAAATGTCTCGGTCATCAGACAGGTCATCAGTTATGTAGTGTCCCAATTCAAATATTTAATTTCATTGCATATATTGAGGACATTGCCAGATAAAGAGAAGTCATGGGTTATCAGGTGCTTATCTGCCTTACTTCTAACAATCATAACATTGCTTTTCTTAGCGTTATATTTGATGTCAAAGTCATAACCATATTGGGAACAGACCCTTAGTAGTTGTTGAAGGCCAGCACTATATGGGCATAGGATTACCAAATCATCTGCATACATGATGTGATTGATTATGCGGTCACCAACCAGTTAAACAACCACAAACCCAGGTTCATATGATTACTTACCTAAACTAGAGAAGCTGTCAATAGGACCGTTGTAATTCTAATAGAGAACTGTAAGTCAGACATTGTTTAGGTGAGCCTAATAGCCTGTTGTTGTTATTATTAAACAGACCTGGACAAAAATTATGGTACCCCTAGAAAAGACTGAAAAAATTTGACCAAAGGGACATGTTTCCCCTAGAAACTTTGCTCAAATGTTCCAAATTTCAGAAATAGCAGATGCTAAAGTTAGAAAAAAATCTAAGTTTTGCTGCTTGATGCACCAAATCAACCAATCAGAGAAGCATATTGGCGAGCTGGCGGGGAGACGGACTGCTGATGCAGATCGCTATGAACCCCCCCCTTTAGAAATAGTTTATTAATGCCAAAATGTACTTAAAATATCAGAACCTGTAAGCAAAATATGTTTGCGTTTATTATTCTGGTGCTTGCAGTTTGTACCAAATATCTGAAAAACCCTAACATCTACTTCCAGTCACCACAACCAATATGGGAAAACCCACAAGGGGCAACCGGGCCTTAGGCAGCTGTTGCTGGATACCCAGTGACAGCACAACTCCAGTATATTTGGGTCTGGGCGGTTCTGACTGCAAAGTAATATTTTGCGGCAGGATTGTAATCTTGATGTACTGCCTGCACAGACGATGTTTTGAGGTGGACTTCCTCTCTTAATAACATGAAATAACACAGCAGCAGCAGAATCATCAGACGCATCTGGGCACACTTTACTGAGCGCTCATCAGGAGTTTCAAAGATGCTCCTGAGGTGTGTCTGACCTTTATGTGGACAAGAATCATAAAACCATATGCTCCTTCATTTTTGATGCTCAAAGCGCGTGCAGTGTGATTGTTTGTTTAAATAACCTATTAAACATAATATTGTACCTAACAATGAACCTCAGGATTCCAAGCTCTATACCTAGGGTATAGAGCTTGGAATCCAGAGGTTCTGAGTTCAGGCCCCACTCCCACAGACTGCCACTCTGGGTTCCTGAGCAAAGACCATTAACCCCACACTGGTCCCCTGGCGCTGCACAATGGCAGCCCACTGCTCCCCAAGGGAATGGGTTAAATGCAGAGCTAAAGCTCCAATGTCAGATCAATAATGTTAAATTATTATTATTGTTATTTAAGCAGGGAAGAATGACCTGCGGTAGTGTTCCTTTTTACGGACGGAGTGTAAAAGTCTTTCACTAAAGAAGCTGCCGAGCTCCTCTACAGTCTGAGGTGTACATCTTAGGAAGTATTCCTTGAATATTCAAATTGAATTTGAATATCGCATGTATGTTTCTTGTGTTTTGATTCTCAATCTTGTTGTAGTGGAAGATAAAGACCATGGCACACCAAAACCTTTCAAATTAGGGATCTAAGGGTACAAATAGTTGTACCAAATATCTACAGTACAGCCATGTTAGGCTGTACAGTTTAGGCATGTGACACCAAAACAAAACAGCCCAGGTAGTTCCTGTCTGTTAATAATGATAATGCGATAGTGTTTCATAAACAATTTTAGTTCTGGCTGGGTTTCTGATGATGCCTTTAGGTTCCTGACTTTCAAACCTTTAACCCACAAAATAACAAGAAATGCTTCAATACTCATTAAGCATGATCGTGAATATTAAAACAAGCTGTAAGTCACATGAATGACGGAAACAATACTTTAGCAGTTTCCTTTTTTTATTTCTATGCTGGTTTATTAAACTAAATGTCTTTTTAGCCACCTGAAACGTTGGGGGGAAAGAAGATCTGCCTCAGAGTTTACAATTAATGCAGGCTCCACCTCACTAAATATTGTTAAACAGTCAATACATTTCAAAAAGATAGCACAACAGGAGTTTAACTTTTTGCATCTTTTTATTTCTTCACAAAAATATATCAATATTTTTTGCATATTTGAAAAAGAAATAAGGTTTTTAAAACATAGTGAAAGCTGTAGTAGTAAACGATGTGCAATAATTTCTAGTAATATGTATCGCCCTGTCTAATTATGAAAACATGTCTGACTTATTTTAGAGAACATGTCGCTTGGTAGTTTGAAAGCGGCTAGTACATTCCATTTATTTGTCCTCTTAATCTGTAATCATCCTGGTTGAGTAGCACAGCATCTGGTTAGTGCTACTGTTTTCTCTCAACCTGTAACTTGAGGCAGGATACATTTTATGAACTGTCTTTAGAGGGGCGGGGTGGGGGGTTCTTTGTAGCTTGATGGAGCATATTCAGCATCACATATATATGGGGAGATTGTCTGTTGGACTTGATGTCAGAGGGCAGGGCTCATCAGTCCCTACTAGGGCTCACAGTCTGTGTCCACAAATTTGACACTTGCAATATTCTGCTCGTCTGCGGTGGTCTCTAACTGTTCTGCAAAGGGACATTTGCCTAAAGTGAACCTTATTCAAAGCAGAACCCCCTGTCCTGGCCATTATGCACTCAGAGAAATAGCAATTGTTGATAAACGTTTGTTGACATTCCTCCAGGCCTAAGTTGTTGCCGTTCTGTGCTGCACTTCAATAACGAGTCACTGCCCTGAATTGTTCTAGCAGGTGGACAGGAAGCCTCTTCAGGAAAATGCATTCTGGGAGGGGTTTGATTTCCTTTCTTACAAATTTAGAAATTTGAATCCAAATGTATCTTAGTTACTGTGAATAACTTTTGGAATTCCAGTTTCTTGTTTATACCTGGAAAGTTTTTGTGCATGAAACCTTTTTTTTTTTTCTTGCGTTTTCCAAACTGAACATTTTTACCCTAACTTCCAGATCAATCAGTTCAAACTCTCACATTTTTAAATAGCACCTCAGAATAGGTCAGCAGCAGAATCAGTGGAGTTCACTATAAAAATGTGTTGTTTTGATTCCCAAATTGGAGAACAAGATGACAAGCACCCATGATTGTGTTTAACAATGCAAATTTTGGCCTCTGCCTCCACTGTACCAGATCTAAATTGAGCTGATTCATATCCTCTTTTTGAAAAATAAGGTTTTTTTCTGTTTTTCACAGTTTAATTCAGAACTTTTAATTTCAGATTTCATCTGTTAGAATGCTGGATGCTAAAATTGTCTCGCGTTGACTTGTTTCTAGGGACGAGAGCAGGAAGATGAGGAACCAGAGAGCAAAAAGCCGGCATTAGAGGAAACCCCTGAAGAAAAGCACAGGTTAGTTCTCATCACAGTCTGTAGAAATACTTAGAATTTGTTTGTTTGGGTGCACATTGCTGTTCAGTGTTGGCTTGGTCCTCAGTTTACACACAAACGGAACTGAAACTGATCTTGATGTGCACAGTCAGAGCATTTATCTGCTCTTTATCTCCTCACCAGTGTGTGTGTGTACGTGTGTGTGTGCAGGTTGTGAGAATGGGTGTTTACAATGGGTTGGACCGTCAGCCTGTTGCCATTAGCTGCTCAAATATTCCACAGCTCGCCCGACTTCTTGTTAGCAGTTGGTAGGAGGGAGCAGCCATCTTTCCTGTCCTACAGGACCTTTTTTTTCCCATTGTTTATATTTAATGACTTTGCTCTAAAAGCACCTGAGGGAGTGGCGCTCCGTTTCCTCCAGTCCAACAGGACAGATCTCTCCCAGGGTGAAAATAGCTTCAGGGCTCACAAACATCTTTAGAGTGTGGATGTAAAGAGTGTCAAATGCAGTCTGTGGTTTCTGATCTGTGTTTTGCAAACAGTGACACTGGTCTGCAGTATGCTGTGGGTGTAATGTACCCTGCAATGGGCATTAAAGTTTAATAAGAGATCAGGTTGCGAAAGCAGGCTGTTAAAAATTTTTTTTCTTCTACTCCCTTTAAGGTTTTTAAAGTGCTGTTTAAGCTCTTCTCTTCTAACATTTTGTTCCAAGTCTGATCCAAAAGATGCACAAAGTATGCCTTGCAGCTCTTCCTGTTTCATCATGTTAGGTGTGGCTCAGACTTCAGTTCTTTATTCCGACACATGGGCGAACAGATTCCAAGTTCCTCGGATTGACAAATAAGATTCAAATAACTTTGAAAGCCTTTGAGATATCCCTGTTTCATGCTCCTCCTTGATGTCTGGGGTGTATAAAGTAATTTCTGCTGCTCTTGACTGTCTTCTAGCTAGATATCAGTAGGAATATTTGAACAGCCTTGCTGCCCCTCCTCCTCAGCAAGAGTTCTCTCTAAACATTTAGAGAGGGCCTATGCTCCGAATTTATCACAGTTTCACTTCGATGCAACGGTCTGCTTGTAATGGAAATGCATAAACACACCCCTCTGCGCTTGGAAGCATTAAACTTTGAGACGGCTAATAACAAAAAGTCTTCAAGGGCAGATTTGCACACCTACTGTGTTCTGCTAATGGAGGCAGTTGAAACTTTTTTTCTCAAGTTCTCTTTGTCTGTCTTTTTTTGGTGTGGGGGGAGAGGCTTAATATGTGATTGAGGTGGTGGGTTTAAATATTAATGGACACAAGACGGGGATTCTTAACCATGTTGATGACCTGCTCCCCATCGTTACACTGAAAGAATCCAGTTTCTTTTTGTGCCTCATTAAAGATGCAAAGATTTTAGTTTTCTGAGATCTTCTCTTTTTCTATTTTATCATTTGAAGTTTTCATATTTTTCTGTATTGCTGCTGAACTCTTCATCCAAATCCAAATGCAAATATTGTTTGTGATAGTCAACTGGATTTTAACAGAAACACCCAAAATTAGCTTAAGCAGCTGTCATAATAATTGTTGCCTTTTTCCATTTAAAAAAAACACTCTTGGTATGTTTTATGTTTTCTTTTTAAACTTCTGTGTTGATCCATTATTCTAACTTTTTTTTAACCATCATTTTCAAACCATAAGAATCTTATCCTGGTCAGTGTTTAGTCTGTATATGGAAATAAAAATACTAGAAATGGGCGAAGAATAAACCAATTAAAAAAGTTGAGGAAATAACTTGGACTGTGGTCATTAAATATGGATTAGGACTGAAAGGGCAAGATTCTAGATCAAGCAGCTGAAAGGAGCCTTATCTGTAGGATGGGGAACCTCAGGTGGAATAGAGCTGCTGGAGTTTCACAACTAAAGGAGTCATTTGAGGTGATCTTGGCGTTGAAAACCAGGTTTTTGCAGTGATTTTCAAGGTAACAATGTCTGATTATAAAACTGTGTCTCATTTATCATTTTCATTAGGGTTTCTCTGCACGGTTGTACAGGTTTAAATTGAGTCGGCTTGTTGTGTCAAGTTTGTGCATGCATACTATGTTTATTATGTTTTTATGTAGGAAGAAAAGGTACAATTAGCTCAAGTACACATGGTATGGATCCGAGCACACTGACTATTAAGCATTCATTAGAGAGATGGCCTGGTGAGAGAAACTGGGCCTGTGGCAGCCTGTTTTTGCAAATAGTGATCTTTAGCGCCAACCTGGAAAAGGGATTTTGTGCTCAGTCCTTTTTCTGACACCACCAGGTACCTCCCTCTGATAATCCTCGAAGACGTGATTGTTTGATGAAGTTTTCCTTCCTCATTTCCAAGGTTTCAGGCTTGTTGATCTCCAGGTGTTTCTGACCCCTTCAGTAGCCAGATTATCAACTTCCCGTTTGTATCAAGACTCTACTGTCAATCAGACCAGTGAAAGTGGTTTCCTCTACAAACCTTTGGAGTTCTACAGGTAGGTTAGCTGAGGTACGGTCATTTGTGTGGAGAACACACCCCTGGTGGGGTGGGACCTGTAGTCAGTTGATGGTGTGTTTCTTGGGAGCTGGGATGATAGTTTTATGCTTACAGAGAGAAGGAACATCATGCATTTCCAGAAGCTTCAAAAAACATGGTATTTTATTGAAAGCCTTGTATGATTGAAAATGTTAGCTGTTCTGAAGCCATTGGACTTTAAAACCTTGGCATATTTTAATACGGGTTACCAACCCGTTCCTGGTCAGTTGTACAGAGATTTGAGACAAAAGTATAAAGACGACTCGCCTGTTGAATTCAAGGCGTGTTTGATCATTTTGAAAATATAAAACATAGCCATGCTTCACGCAGTCATATTTGAACCAGCCTCATAAACATTTAATTTGCACATTAAAAGAAAGATATCTGCATAAAGACATGATCTGCTGTCAGCAAAGAGCTCCAGATCCCAACTAGCTGTCCTGCCTGTACCCATACAAGGCAGTGGACCGTCAGGCAGAAGGAGTGTGATGAATCTATCAGGAGCGTAGAATGTCAAGCTTCATCCCAAATCTTTTCTAAGCTCTGAACAGCTGATAAGACTGCAGTGCTGTGCTTGTAATGACAACAGTTAACCTCCATCCTCTGGACCCTCTGTGTGATCTGCAGAGACGATGGCTGAGCTCGCCAAGAATTCCTCAGTGTGGTGAAAGGCTAAGCGATTCGGCTTCAAGGAAAGAATCCCTCAGCTGTTTTCTGTTCTCCTTAAAGTCGGTGCCCAGGAGCAGGTGGAACATGTTAATCAGAAATACTTGCTGGTATAAATGGGGACTTTATGCTCTTAAGGCCTCCTTTTCAGGCATTAGTTGTGCAGCTGTGCAGGGATTTCAGATGATCGTTTATGTCCTTTAATTTGCCTACACTGCCACCTGCTGGATTGGTGAGTTTTTGAGGATGTTCTTTAAACCTTCCTTTGTTTTTTGTTTTGTTTGTTTTTTCTGTGTCCAGAGAGCTGAAATTGAGGAATTACACTCCAGAGGATGAAGAGCTAAAGGAGAGACAGGTACCCAAAGCCAAACCAGCTTCAGGTGAGATATGTAGATTTAGAAAAAAACAAAAACTTTATAATTTAGAAATGATTTAATACTGATCATATTATTTGGTTGCAGTGGAAGATAAAGTAAAGGATCAGTTGGAGGCAGCTAATCCTGAGCCCATAATAGAAGAAGTGGTAAATACTTTTGTTAAGCTCTGTTTTTCTTATTAATTCATTATTAGATGTCCAAGTTTAACTTGTTTTTTTTTGTCTGTAGGATTTAGCAAACCTTGCTCCAAGAAAACCAGACTGGTGAGGCATGTTTAAAAGTAGTCAATAACAATTGTAGCTTTTAACCTTTTGTCATTTTATGTGCTGGTACCAGGCAAAGATGAGAGTAATTGTAAATTAAATGAAAAAATATTGATCAACCATTTAAGCCTAGCCCCTTGTTTAGTCCCTATAAAGCTCATTTTTCTGCAGTTATACCTGCAATGAGCTGAAAGGCCAAGTTCAGCCATATGAAGAGACTGTATCCATGTCAATTTTCAGCCCTTTTCGCTGATTTTATATGCTTTTAGGATTTATCTTTGTCTGACTCATGCTAATGTATATATTTTGATCAGAACTGTTTCATGGGAGGTCTGGCTGTGTGTTAAAGGTTGTTTTCTTGCTAGACGATCCTACACCCCATACTTTGATTTTTTGCAGACTTTAACCTTTCCCCCAGTATTTTCCTTTGTAAGGCTCCATCCATCTATTCCTCAAGTCTGAACAGCCACCCATTGTCTGTTCATAAAACGCATCCCTACTGCATAATGCTCCCAGTGTTTAATGTTAGTTTTCCACCATAAATGCCATTTTGCATAAATGCTATTTTGGTCTCTTCTGACTAGAATAAACTTATTATGCAAATAAATGTATACCAAGAGAGATGCGTACCTCAGTTTTCTTTTTTTTCCCCCATTTATTTCTTTTTATTGTTTCATTGAGATAGGCGTATAATATTTGTTTTGCATAATTACTTTCTGTTTATCTATTACAAAAAATGCCAATAAAATGCATTGACGTTTATGGCCAAGTTCTATTGTGTATAGTCTGATGTGTTTGTATTGGATGTTATGGAACTTAAAAATGTCTTTCATTTTCGTTAATTGTCAGGGATCTGAAACGTGATGTGGCAAAGAAACTGGAAAAGCTGGAAAGACGAACACAGAGAGCCATCGCCGAGCTCATCCGTTAGTATCAACCCCTTTATTATGAGGTTTTCATCAGGATGAAGAGAGAGCCATGTTTGGACAGGGTTGTAAATTAGTAGGCTAATTGCTTTGTGACTCCTGGAGACTATGGTAGCTTGAAGGCCTCTCAGATGACTGATGCTACAGCTGATGGATGAACAGCTGCTTAAAACAGATGGATTATTTAAGGGAAACATGAAACTTATAAGAATATTTCCTTATTTTGGAGATAATAGTAAAGCTTTCAGAGAACTGGATGTGATGTAGCAGAATTTACTTGTGTTATAATTAGGGTTGGGAATTGAAAAGATTTTCACGATTCCGATTCCCTTTTCGATTCTATGAAACGATTCGATTCTTTATCGATTCTTTTTTCGATTCCAATTTGGGGGAAAAAGGAGAACAAACAGTTTGATTATCAGAATCAACTTTGTTTACTTAACTATTGCACAATCTTACAAACTCAACAAGATCAAGATGTCCACAGGAAATGTGAAACTGGAGTAACATCTGTGTTTAAATGAAAAATAAATATACAAGAACAAACTTAATAACCAACAATGTCTAATAACAAATGATGGGATAATAACCTATTTTAAATAACAAAAAATACTAATTATAAAACAGTAGTAGGGAAAATTAACAGTTATTTTGCAGAAAGATGAGCATATCTGCTTTTTCTGGAAGGATACAGGATCTTTCAGGGCTTATGGTGTCTCCAGCCGTGGAGAACACCCTCTCAGATGGGGTGGAGGAAGCCTGCACACAGAGGTAGTTTTCAGCCAGTCAGATAGCAAGGGCAGCGTATCTTGCTTGTTCCACCACCACAGTGTGGCGCTATCCCTGCAGGGGATGGAGGGCAAGCTTTTACAGAGCTGGATTTCCTGATCTACCCTCTGGGCTAAGGAAAGACGGGGCTTTGATTCACAAAGTGACCGCAGCTCGTTGTCTTCCTCCTCGAATAGTTCTTCCAACTTGCGTAACTTGCGTAACTTGCGTAACTTACGTAACTTACGTAAAAAACGTGACGTAAGTCGTGCTCCCCAGAGCCGGCGCTCTAGGCTCTGGTGCTGCGGGAATCGAAAAAAGAATCGTTCAGTGAGCTGCCAAACGATGCCATGGAATCGGAAAATACGGAACCGGTTCTTAACAGGAACCGGTTTTCGATTCCCATCCCTAGTTATAATGATGTAAATAATGATTTTTTTTGCTTAAAACTCTCTTTTTTTCACATTTAGTTCTGCATCAGTTAAATTCTGCTGCCTGCCAGCAGATTTCATGAATGCTGAAAGTCAGTCTAGATACTTTATTATGTAAAAATGCTGAAGGAACCAGATATAAATTAGATATGTGTGCAATGGATGAATGGATGGAGCAGACTAATTGTGGGGGTTTGATTGTGTCTCTCTGTCCAGGTGATCGCCTGCGAGGCAGTGAGGAGGAGTTGGCCGGGGCGGTGGGAGCCGTTGGTGTGGAAGAGGGAGACTCTGACTAAATTAGTGATGTAACAGAGGGTGTGTGTTGGGGGTAAAACGGGACAGGAATGGCGATTTGCTGTCAGATGTGAGCTGAAGATACTGAAGAGGTTTCATCCTGAAGAGGAGAGGGTTACATTTCTATTTTTTGTCAGGCCTTCCCATGAGTCATATTTTGTATATGTGCGTTATTTTTTTTTTTTTTTTTTTGTTTTTTTTTTTTTGATTTTGGAAGGTGCATTTTCATCTTACCAACAATATTTTATATTAAAATGTAAAATAAAATGAACATTAAACAAAAACAATGTAAAGTTTTATGTCAATTTTTTAAAATTATTATATAAAACATGGTTTAGAAGCAGAGTTCCTCCTTAAAGTCTAGGATTTATGCTGCTTTCTGGACCTGGATTAATTTAAGATTAGAAAATTATATTTCTTACATTTTTTTTTTCTCTCAGTTGCTTCCTTTGCTTGTCGGGTGTCTAAAGTATGCAATGGATTCACTCCAACCTGACCTATTTTAAATATATACATTGGAAAGTGTTAGTTATCCAACTATACACCATTATAGTCATTAATTAAATCTGTCTATGTATTCATTCATTATTTTCTCCACCCCTTCCCTTTTCTGTCCCTTTTATTCTTCCATTTCCCCATCTAGCCTTCCATCATTCATCTATCTGTCCTTTCATTCAGCAAATAGACCAGCATAATTGATCTCAACCATATCCTGTTTGTCCCTTCAGCCATTCCCCCTTTCAGTATTCTATTCTTACATTTTTAATGCTCCAAATTTAAAGCCTGACTCATGCAGAAATGCCTTTTTATAAAATGATCCCTTTTTATAAATAAAATCATGAATAATTGAATTATGAAGTTTCAGGAATTATTAATGACAGAAGCTCTGGTGTAAAAGGAGCTATACAATAGGATAAGAGTGTTATTTTAAAAACTTTACAGGCACAAATATATTTTTTTTTTCATATAAAGACAAACAACACATTTAAGTTACACATTTATTCAGAAAATTACCTGAAGATTCACTCTATCTGATGACCTCTAAAGGCTCCTGATAGGAACTGCTACATAATGTTTTGCTACGTTAGAATCAAAAACAAAGTTTGATTCTGTGCATGAAAGAACTAAAGAGGACATACAGAAAAAAACTGCAATTTTCACGCGTGATCTCAGATGCCAGCTGAACTGAAATGCTGCTCTTTCACAATAAAGTGCATCTTCTATCTACTTAGGCCCACAGCATCTCTGCGGGGAGACGGTAAACGGTTCTAGCTCCCCTCAAAAAAAAAAAACAACACATTTGCTCTTGTCTGCAAAGGCAAATGATCAAGGCAAATCAAAGCATTCAGTCACTGCTGTTTGGTAAATTCACAAAAACAACATAAATGAATGTTAAAGCAGCTGCAGCTCATAGCTGAGCTTCTACAAATCTACGACCTCGGGACTCATCAGCACGATGTTCACAAACTACAGAGTATTAGCAGAACGGCTGATGAAGGGTACATGAACTAAAGTGCTGGCTTTGTGACTAAATCTAAACAGTGTGATGATCACTGAGGTTGTGATTAATCCCAGAATCTTCAATATCATGGGATTACACAGCGGTTCAAGGAAGCAACAGGTTTTTCATCCCAGACTCGGAGGATGCCTTGGCCTTCAGGGAGCCAGAACAACTATTCCTGACTGCATGCAGGTAAACTAATGATAAAGGATTATTAATTAAACATGATGGACAGGATCACTAGTTGACCTTAAAACGCAGACCTCCATAGAATTAGCCCTTGGTCGAGTTCACTTCTGATCCTGTTGATACTTTACAGTTGACATTGGCCTGTAGGGTAAAGCTGATAGGGACTTGGAAAAGTATTTACACCCTTTAAAGTTTTTAATACTAGCACCATGAACTTTAACATAGTCTATGAGGTCTTTAGGTGACAAACCCATAGAAGCAAATAGCTTTAGAAATGGGGGGGGGGTTAAAGCTTTAAATCATCTCAAACAGGTGCCAAGCATTTGTATTCAACCAACTTTTATAAAATAAAACCTTGTACTGATTTTTTTCCTTTAGAAGTCTCATAATCAGTAGCCAAATGGTTTAATTTAACTTCTGTATATTATTTAAAAAACTGATGTTCATAAATATTCTCCACTTGAGTGAGACTTGCACCGTTAATTTAATGGAAACTGGTTCTTTATAGTGTAGAACTTTATAGAAGGGAAGAAAACTGACCCACATTTCTACCTGTTAAAGAAAATAAAAATAAAAACCTTTTTTTCACCAACTTCCACAACAATGCATAAAATTATACTGTCTATTAAAAAAAAAACCCTAATAAAATGCATAATATATTTGGGCTGTAACATGACGACGTTAAGATCTGAAGGGCTGTGAATACTTTTTCTCAAGTACTGTAACGGGAATCTGTGATGCATTCAAGGATCCTCAATCACATGGCCCTACACCTGATTCGATTTTCCTGGCTGCTGGTCCCAGCTCCACTTTGCACACCTTCTGAGCAAACTTCAGAGAGCATAACGTCTCTCCCACATTGCTCTCCAGAGCGGAAACCTTCAGAGGAACAATTCAGCATGATTAGTATCAGCGGGAGAAATTGGCATTCCTTGACTGAACGATTCATCTTACCTGCACCACCATGACAGTCTTGCTGCCTTTACCCAGGGAGTCCTGTAATAAGTACGTGAGACGCGAGTTCCTGAAGGGGATGTGAGTGTGCCGACCCCGAAGAGCCTGAATGACGTCCCCGAGCGACAGCAGAGAGCGGTTGATGTTCTGGGCCTCCTTCAGCCTCTCTCCTTCAGCACCAGACTTCCACACTCTCTCAGAGCCAGCCAGGTCCACTAGGTTCATCTTACCTGGGGGAGGGGGGGGATTCACAGAAATCGTGTAACCATAACATTAAAGGGACCCTTTAAAACCTGCTGATGGTTACACAGAGGAGTAGATTATCCATGACCGACCTGTGGTTTTAGATCCAGAGGCGAGGTCAGTACCCTGGACAGTGACGCACAGCAGAGCGTGGGAACGTGAGCTGTGCTGGTTCATCTGGGTCCCAAAGGTGATCCTATTCCTTCGAGCTGTAGCTAAAATCTTACAACAACAACAACCAAAAAACAAACAACTATTAGCATCAGTAATGGTTCAAAGAATAGTGATTAAAAGCAGTAAGAGAATGGTATCACCTTCTTAATATGATGAAAGCTCCTGACTTCTATAACCCTGAGGCCTGGTACATGCAGCTGTCCGGTTCCATCTGGGTTAATTTTTATGTCCAACTTCTCCCCATCCTTACTCAGCAGATCTCTGTAAAACAATTGAATCTTCAAATCACTTAGAAATAAGATTAATTTGTCCTGAATAGGTAAAACCAAGTAATACAAAAAAGTAAATAAAACCAAACCAAAGACTCCATCTGTACCTCAGCACCTCATTGTAAATCTCCACAGAGCTGACTGTGACTGTGTAAGACCACATGTCCTTTCTCTCATCGATCTCACTAAAGAGATGTTTCAGAGCTCGCTGGTTAATTCCTGGGTTTTCCACAGTGCCCTGGAAAACAAAAAGGACACCAAATTGTGGTATTTGATGGGGATATGATAATATTTAGGGCTGCTCAGTGGAACAGTGGGTAGCACTGCTGCCTTGCAGCAAGAAGATTCTGGGTTCAATTCCCAGCCCAGGGTCTTTTTGCATGGAGTTTGCATGGTCTCCCTTAGCGTGCCTGGTTTCTCTCCGGGTACTCTGGCTTCCTCCCACAGTTAGGTTAATTGGCTTCTCTAAATTCTACTTAAGTGTGAGTGTGTGAATGGTTGTTTGTCTCTGTGTTGCCCTGCGATAGACTGGCGACCTGCCCAGGGTGTACCCTGCCTCTTGACAGTGGACAGCTGGAGATAGACACCAGCACTCCGCTTGGGATAAGTGTGACAGAAAATGGATGGATGATAATAATCAATCAACACCATTCACACCAAAACGCTACGTACCTACTTATAGCTCTGCATATTTTTTAAAACTAACCCCCAAAATAATCATCCTTTGTGTGCATTTTCTATTGTGTTACAAAAAAATAAGATTTATAATAGCCAGAAAGCTGGCCCATTTGGCATTTCAAATAAGTTCAATCCAATTCAATAATACTTTATTAATCCCAAAGAGAAATTCAGTTTCCTTCTGGGATTAATAAAGTATAAATTTCTGGATTTTTTAAAATTATTTAAATTTAATAATTTAAATTTCTATAGAGAAAACATGTTCTTTTTCTTCGGCAATAATGGAACAAAACTCACTCCACACTATATTTGACCAAGAATTGATCAGACTTCATTTAAACTAGTATAAAAAAATATAAAAAAGTAAATGCTTCAAAAATATATTACAGTGCAGCATTATTCAACTCACAGGTTAAAAGCCTTTTAATTTTCCATCAAACTAAAAATATACTTTTGTCCTCAAAAGGAAACTACTTGTTGCCTATAGTGTTTATCATCAAAACAAGATATGGGAAAAAAATTAATACCGGTAATAAGGTAAATAAATCTGAGCTGTTGGGTTTCATATTTAGAGAGATTTGTTGTTTTTTTTTAAACAAGAGAATCTGCCCTAACTTACAAAGAAAAACACTGATATATTGATAGAAAATATCTGTTTAAAGATATTAGATTGTTGCCAAATAAATATAAAAGTTTAAATCTAATTATCCTGATACACTTTTTCTCACTTTAATAGTATTTCTCATATATTACTCTGTTATTAACTTCTTTAATGACTGGTGAGGCAAAAAAAAAAAGAAACAGCCAAGGAAAATATTGTATTTAAAGGAGAAAATGTGCTGGTATTACTATGATTATTCAGACAAATAAATTATCTTGGTCTGCATGTAGTGGGAACGGTGCTATAATACAGTAGTAATGTTTACCTCCATGGTGTAGGTTTTTCCAGAGCCTGTCTGCCCATATGCAAATATGCAGACATGGTAGCCATCAATGCAGGACGTCACAAGAGGTTCAATCTCCTGAAAGACCTGTTCAAACAAGTCAAGAGTGAGGTGGAGCTTCAGGGGTTGCTATGACAACATGTCCTTCAGCCCCTACCTCTTCCTGTGTGGCATGAGGCTGGAAGACCTTGTCCAGCTCAAAGCTGCGACTCTTTCCCTTGCTCATCACAGTGACGGAGGACTCGTTGTTGGGGTCCGTCGTCACAACAACAGACTGACCTTCCTCGTGCTGGTCCTCCTTCAGCACAGGCTTCACCCGGCAGAGCACACGGATGTTGCCTAGAACAGAGAGATGGCTCAGTAAGGGAACTTTTTACCAGATTTACAGCAAAGGTGACCTATTTACACCTTTCAGCTCCACCAGCTGCTCGTGTAACTTCCTGCGCAGGGCCACCTCTTTCCTGTATTTCTCCAGAAGATCCTTGTTGGCTTCAGACATCTCACTGATAGCTGCTGAAATCTACCAAAGACAAATTACAGTTTCAAACCTTTAAGAATCCAAAGGTTGTTTTTTTTTAAACCAACATCCAGGATTAAAGATTTAATTTACCTGCTTCTTGGCTTCATTGATCGCTGCACCATAAAAGTCAGAGAAGTTTCGAACCTGACTCCTTAGACTGGCGTAGTCTGTTTTCATGGAGCGCAGGGTTGGAGGGAGAGCTGTAAGACGCTTCTGCAAAGCTGATCGAGGAAATAAACTTTGAAGAAATAATCTCTGAGTGAATGAAACGTTCGGCATATTTAGTAATAACTCACTGAAGAATTGGTCCTGAAGGTTCTGGAAGTGTTCAGCAGAGCAGCTGGCAGCAGCCTTCACAGCCTCCTCTTTCCTCTCCTCCAAGTGGCCAATCTCCTTCAGCAGTTCCTCTCGCAGCTTACAAATCTCCCGTTCATATGCTGCAATCTGTAAACGGTTCAGTTTTTCAGTCTCTCTGCTTTACAATTACAGAGTATTAATTTCAGCTCTGCATTATTTCTGGAGGGAATGTGGAAATTTTATTTTGTTTCCTCATTTGTTCACTTGCCTTCAATTTGTTCCTAACAAAGTTTTTTAAGAAACTTGCAACATGCAGCGATCTGGTTAACGTTTGACTCTTTTGATAATACAAAAAAAAAACCTTTTTTTTTAACTTTAAACTGGATTTTTAAACTGGATTTTTTTTAATGATTGCATATTTAGTTGTGGTGATAGATTGGCGACCTGTCCAGGGTGTACCCCGCCTCTTTCCCGTAGACAGCTGGGGATAGGCACCAGCACCTTTCTCGACCCTAGCAGGGATAAGCGTGACAGAAAATGGATGTATGGATGGATCAAGTCTTGGCTAACTGTCAAATGATTTGTGATTTAAATTGGGCCTTTGACTAGGCCATTCTGAAATATGAGAATGCTTTAATCTAAACTGTAGCACTAGCTCTCTCAGGTCTTTCAGAACCTTCTTTTATTTTTTTTAATGTTGCATTAAACCATGCTCCATGTACGCATAGAATATTATTTCAAAAGTTGTCCTTTATTTAAGGGCGTTTATGAAGCGGTTTGTTCACAAATTGTTGCTTATAACCCTCAAACTAAAATAAAAGTGTGTGATTTCTCCTTTAGGTTTGTGCAGTAACTATATAGTGCTCACCTTGTGCTGCAAGTTGCAGCTATATTCATCTGACTTCCTGATCTGTTCCTCCAGCTGTTTGCACCTCTCATTCTGATTGGACAGCCTTTCAGACAGAACCTCATTCTTCTGCCTGGCTTTGGTCAGCTGTTTGACTGTGGCTGGAGATTCCACCTCCACTGTCTGGGTGACATACTGGCAGAGAAGACAGACATCTTTTCAGAATGGTATAAATAAATTAGAGTCCTTCGAGAATCCATCAAATGTCTGTAAGGATGCTTTACCTTTACAACTGGCTCCTTGCCTCTTTCTTTATTAAGCTCCAGCTCCAGCTCTCGCACCCTGTCTTCACGTTTTCTCAGCTCCTCTCCTCTCCTCCACTCTCTCTGTTCACTTTTTCTCTCCAGATGTGTGAGCTGCTCCGCCCGCTGCTGCAGGGAGAGCTCCAGCTGTTGAACTCTGCCACGAAGGTTCTCATTCTCCTGTCAAGTTAAAACAAACCATGGTGCAGGTGGGTGTTAACAAGGCGCTGATGAGCACTCATGAGTTCGAAGCTGAGCTCAAGGTCCTTACCTTGATGAGCATGTTGCTGGACTGAGATGGGATGGCGGAGAGCTGCTGCAGGAGGCCTTGGGTAATGCTCAGGTTCTGTTTCAGGCTCTCGTTCTCAGCTGACAGACAGAGCACACGCTTCTCTGAGTCTGTGGCCCCCTGAGGAGAAAAAACATAAGATGGAACTCTGACATGACATGAAATAAACAAAAGCTGGCAAAAATGTAAAGCTATATTATTTGGATTATGATGAAACATGTTTATTTGACACCTTGGTAATAAGAAAAAATTATTTCAGTATGTTTAAAAAATTGGATCCAACTTGTCCTAGACATTGTTAGAACTGAAAAAATAAATAAGATGTTTGATTAAAATAAACTGTATAATGATTTAAGTAAAAGAAGATCGATTCTGAGGTTGGAGCAAATATTATATGAACAAGATTGTAGGTCTTAGTTATGATATCTAAATTATGTTGGAAATCTTACAAATGTCAGTCACATATTGCAGTACTTTACAAAAGTACTCTGATTTTTAAAAATATGTTCTTTATACAATAATAGTTTCTTACATCACATCCTGTCCAGAACTTTGGTGAAATGCATACAAAAAAAATAAATAAATAACAGAACCACTTTTCGTAATTCAAAAGATCTGTTGGCAGAAGTCGATAAATTTTAACAAATAACTTATATACTAAAATAGATAAACATATTTAGGTTTTCAGGATTTTGATGCGTGTATGTTGCTATAATGAAAATTAAGGTGCAAAAAAAAAAAAGTGCCTCAAAGGTGTGTCCAGATTAATTAAAAAGTTATTTTTATTTGCAGGGATTAATCTGTGTAAATCATGAAAATAATCTATTGAAAACATGTTAAGTTACAAAGAAAAGGTTTGTTTATGGGAAAACTAATTAAAAAATAATAACTTTAAAAATGTATGACTTTCACTGATGATTTTCTGTTTCTTATTTTGGTGAAATACAAAATAAAAAACCTACAAAAGTAAAGTTTTTCTCTACTAAATTTGAAAAACAATTCGATAAAAGGTAGAAAAAAATGTGCATTGCTTTAACTTTACTTCTTTTTAGTTTCATCTGTTTAATGTTTCTTGATGTGTTTGATACTTATTTCACCTGCCGTATCTGCCACTTTGCTCGCTGTCTGCTAATATATTTAAAACAATGTTAGTCAGATCTAAACAAGGGAAATTCATCTGTGAAAATAAAACCTGTCCTGTGTTTAGTGTCTGACCTTCTTCCACTCTGAATAGTGTTTGTATACTGGAATCAAAGCTGGACTATTCACAGTGCGCTGCTGTGTTGTTAATAATAATGTGTGAAATAAATCTCTCAGTTAAAAGTCATGAGTTTAAAAAGAAGAGCAAAACTGCATCAAAAGTAAATGTTTGAGTTATTAGTGTTTGATTTTCTATCCATACACCTTCATCAGCATGTGTTCCAGTCGTAAAATATACGTCTTTGAATTTGAGTTTTTCTACTTCTATTAATTGTAACCTTATTGCTGTACAAGGTAACCTGGGTGCTGCTTGACATTTAGAGAGCTATTTTTAATCCAATAGGTGGGGCAGATGTGCTGATTGCTTGAAAAGTGACAAACACTTGATGAATGACTCAGCTTGGTCAGCAGGACTCACAGTGGCTGTTCTCAGTCTCGACAGCTCCTCTTCACGCTCCTCTATGCAGCTCTTTAGTTCATCAATCTAAAAAAATATATATATACAGAAAATTTGATTAGATGTAGCAAAAAATTAAAATAATAAAATATATTTTTTCTCAACAAACTTCTTTCAGTGTCAAAATATTTTTCTTATAAGATATTTTTCCTGATTAAATTAGGTAGAAGTATCACTTCTGCAAAAATAAAATAAATTTTTCAAGATTTGCTTTTGCAATGCATGAATCCATGATAGAAATTCAAGCTTATAATACAGGATTTACATGTTCAATAAAGGTTTTATTGATATGTATTTAAACTAGCCGTGTACCTGGTGCTGAAAGGCCTCGATTCTGGTATGTCTGTCTCTTTCTTTTTGCTCCAGCTGTGAGTGCAGGAGGCGGAGCTCTCCTCTTAGTTTACTCCTCTCACCCTGCAGCCCACAGAGAGACTCCACCAGACTGTGCACACCAGAAGGAGTCGCTACGTCACAGCTGGACTCACCTGGAAAATGACAAAAGAAACGGACTATGAGGACTCGAATCACAGTCAAGTCTTCAGAGGTCTTCACACACCTTTTTAGACAAAAGTGCAAGGGAAGACTAGTTTTTTTGTTACATTAGATACATTTTTCAATGATGGCATAATTGATTAAGGGAGATAACTATCCAAATCAAGTTTGCATTGTGTACAAATAGATTAATGTATTTCTTCCTACATCCTGAATTCTGTGAAAAAAACACTTATTCAACTGAAGTGAACTGGTAATATAAAATAGGCTAAAATATCTCAAAATGAAACAGATCAAGGGCTGAAAATATTGGTCTAAAGTGTTACAAATAAGCCTTCTAATGTGTTTGTTCTCCAGTGAACCACGTTAAGAACTGTTATCCATTAATGGAGAAAACATGGAACGGTGGTGAACCTTCCCAGCAGCGCAGGCGTACCAAAGCAAACATATAAATACCTGACTTTGGTTCAGTTAAGGTCAGAGTTTATAATGCAACATGAAACAAAGTTGAGGGAAAACTGCCTCTATGGGTTTCAAGAAGAAAATGGCCACAAAGTAAAGCTAACAACTATGGAGGAAGTTTTAAGAAAAACAAGCGCGTACCAGCAGTTTGACTTTAGGGTTATATTGTGACGGACTAACCACAAAGTCTGCTCTCTACCAGTGAATCTTTAAGGAAAAGACCCAAATCTACCAGTCTACTAAGCTCCACTCGTTAGGCTTACAGTATGCAGCAGGACATTAAACCAAAGTGCATCACTGGGTCTACCTCTGAGTGGTTAGAAAAGAGAAGGTTTTGGATTGAATGGATTAGGTTAATCTGACAGAGAAGCTGCAGCAACACCTGTTTGAAAACCCTGGAATGAGGCTGAATTAAAAACAACTCTACCAAAAATATGTTGATAAATCCCCCCCAAAGGACCCACTGACAGCATTCAGTAACATCTAACAGCAGCATTATGCAAAGACTGGCATCACCACTAATGCGCTAAATAATTAAGTTTAATTATAGATCTAAATGGAGCTGAGGTTTTTTTGTTTACCTGGTGATCCTTTTGTATTAAGATGTGATTGATGAGCTAAAATATTTGTGCCAAAAAGCAAAAACTCTTGTGTTTACTCATTAAAGTATCCTTCTTTTATAAGCATATTTCACAGCATTATGTGAAGCTAAATGTCACGCAGCACACAGGTTGTCGTCATGTATTCATCAGCAGTACCATTAAAATTCATGTTCCTGTGTTCTCTCAATTCCAAGACTTGTATTCAAAAACATAAATAGAATTACTGAAACTCCAAAAACCATCTTGTACCTGACCTGGAGCAGAATGCCAAATAATGTTTTTATCAGTTTTTCTGTCCTCTCAATGATTTACAAAGCTCTGTCACCTACTATTTTCATACCAGGACTTTATGCTCATTTAATTAGCACTGCATGTTAAGTTTGCCCTAGTTTTTTAAAAGAAAAATAGAGCATTGGTGAAGGGTGAAAGTTGCAGTCTGCAGAAGGACGCTAAACTGGAACTAGGCACATTTTTAAAGTGGAAGCCTAAAATGATGTTAAATAAAAATCTAAACTTGATGAATAGAAAATGAATTTAAGAAAACGCAGAGATCTAAAGCAAAATGACACTGCACAATTAATGACATCGTGAATATTCATGATGTGCAGTATTGCATAGAGCTGCATTTTGCATTACACCTAAAAACAGGGAGAGAAACAAAGACTAAAGCATTTTAAGCATTGGGAACTCCGGCTATTTTTAGCCCAACACATTTCCACGTGCTGCCCCAGCATGTGCCAGACCCTGTAACTGCATTTGCACCGCTTTAAACAGCCATCAGACATGTTTTATTAACGTCAAAGCAGCCTTAATCCTGTAACCTGAGGGAGTCCTAAGATCCTCTATTTTTACATTTCCTTCAAACTGAGGAGAATTTGATCAGTCAATGAGCTACCCATATTTTAATGCACCTGTTAACAAGGTGCACAGCAATTAAGGAAACCGTATGGGTTTTACTGTTTATGGTTTCTGCTGAGGTAAAAGAACTAACCTGAGGTTACATCTAAAACACAGCGGTTGTAGAAAAGCAGAACTCTGAGGGGCAGAGCGTCTGCCTGGTCTTTGTGGTGACACAGCTACGGAGAAACATCCGGCAAATCTAATAATGTTGCTTTGCTGCTGGTGGATCAGGTGTTCTATAGAAATGTTCCTTGCTCTAAAATAGGGAAGAGGAAATGGAAAGCCTGATATGCAGCTGATCTTTTTAAAACGGTGACATTCTTATTAAAATCAGAATGGAATTATTTTAGTTAGGATATTTTTTAGATTATATTTTGAAGATTTAACATGACAATATGTCACAGCAGTGTATCATTGTCAATTTTTAATTGTTTGGCAATCTAGTTATTAGCTCTTCCTTGTGTGAAATGTACATTTCGCTGAGGAGTTATAAAACGTGGATAAGATACATTAAGATGATCTATCTAACAAAACTATAAGACCTGCTCTACTGAAAATTACTGTTAGGCCTATGATTCCAGTCATCCCAGTGAACTCCACTATGAATCCACCAGCAGTGCAGCTTGTTCCATCACCATTGTTCCAGTTATTAGGGGCAGGAACAAATTTAATCAAGAAAATTCAAATGAGAGTTAAAAGAGTTATACTGGCTAAGTTACGAAGAACATAATCATTATTTATAATTACCACTGCTTGGATCAGCAGCATTCCACATGGATTCTCCGAGTCCAATTCTGGCTCAAGTAAACCTTGAATGCTAATCTGCCAGTGATCACTTTTTTGACCATAGGTTTTATAAACTGGATTGTGTTCTATTCTTATCTTTATTTGAATTGTTTTTAATTCTCCTTGTCCTACCTCCACCTGCCAAAGGACTGTAGATATAAATCAAATTTTATTATCTTATAATAAAAAGCATTAAATGCTGACATTTACGTTCAAGTCCAGCTGATTCATCTGCCTTGGCAGCAACCAAAAAAACCCAAAAAGGATCATTTTATTTATTTATTTCCTTTATTTTTGATGTATTTGGTGAAATCTTGCAATAAAATCCACATTTTATTAACCATCTCTCATTGGTTTGCCAACAACATGAGATCATATATTGATCAAAGCCCAGTACCTTTTGTACGGATCTGTTTTTCTTTAGGCCTTCACAGTATGGAAGTAATAAGCCACCTTGTTTTCCCCTCCCCCATCTTACCCTCACTCATTGGGCTCAGACTCTGCTGCTGACTGATGGCCTCCTCCAGGCTACTTATGATGCTGTTCTTGTCCCTGATGCGCTGGCGGTAGGAGGCCCGCAGAGCCTTCATCTGACGGCGGTGCTGGACGCGGTGCCTCTTCAGCTGAACCCTGTACTGGTCGGCCTGCTGCTGCAGCTGCTGGAAGTGGGAGTACTGCTCCAGAAAGCTTAGCAAGTGGGACATCACTGCCACAAGGGGAGACTCCGCCAGCTGTAGAGATGGACGTACAGCATCAAAGTTTATCATCAGGGAATATTTAATTCATGTCAGCCTGCTGCACCAAGTCTACCTTGGCTGTTGCCTCCATCTGAACTTGGGAGACTCTCCTCTTCTCAGCCTCCTGTTTAAAGGACAAAAATGCCGCCAGTGGTGTGCATGCAGGGATATCTGTTCCATCATCCTCATCTTCTTCACTCAGCTCATCACTTTCACTGCTGCTGCCTGGTCAAACATCACAAGAAAACAGAATAAGGAACTGTTTGCATGGATCTAGAAGAGTCTCAATATCCTTGCTTGTTTGAATCATCATGTGCATGTGTGAGTTTGATGTGCATGTGTGGATCTTGTCCTGCGCATGCATGGATCTTGTGCTGTGCATTTGTTGATACTGAGACTCTTCTAGCTCCATATGTTTGCACCAAACATTTAGAAGGAAATCTTCACGTAGAACATGCAGAGTTTCTCTCTCAGAAACTCACTTGATTCACTTAATCCAGCAAAAGATTTCTCTCCTGTTCTGGGGGCGTGGCCATCTCTTCTCCTTGTTTCCATGGAAACAGGTCCTGGCTCCTATGCACAGCATCATATTCAAGGGTCAAACAATAACAGATTCAAGTGATTTAAAGACACACAAATGTATTTAGAAGGGAAATCTGTATTCCAAACCGAGACATGAGAAGGACTACATCCAGTAACAATCCGATCTGCTCTGGAAACCTGTGGCAGGGTTGATGATTCTAAACATTTCTGAAAAGAAAAGATTTATGGGTACAAATAATGTGTCCAGACTTACATCTGGGGAAGCTCTAGAGGCCCCCTCTAAGGCATCTTCCTCGTCCTCCTTCCTGAAGACAGTGTAGAAGATGTAGACTAAAAGGGAATAAAAAGCGTACATCTCCACGCTGTGACAGCTCCTGCAAATGACAAATGAATCCAGCGATTTGCAGTCATTGGTAAACTGTCCAAACGCATGAAAAATCTAGGTTTTACTCTAACATGCAGGGAAACTGATCAATTAAATATAAAAGGTATTTCCCTTGATGCACCCAAATCTCTCCAGCATTTTTCCAGTTTTCATTCCACTCCATCCAAATGAATTCCTCATCTTTTGTACCTCATCAAACGACGTCTCCCTCCTGATAATAGGGGCCTGTAAATCCAGCCCTTTGTATTCCAGAGTCACGCTCCATCTGTGTCGTCAGTCCCAGCTTCTTTCCTCTGGAGCTGCTTTGGCTTCCCTGCACTGCTTGGCTCCTTCAGTTCTCCTCATCCTTTCTCACTCTGCTCCATCCATGGAGCATGCTCAGTAAGGCTTCCTGAGGCGCTGCAGTGGTGCAGCTGCAGACAGATTTTTTTTTTTGTTGAGATTAAGGTGATGGAGCTGATGAGAGTGCTGCTGGCCAGGGTTAGGGGTAGAGAAGATGGTTGGTGGTTGTTTTCTTCTGAATAAATGATGTAGATTAGTAGGTCACTTGAAAAAAAAAAATAATTTTAAAGACTGAACACTTAAAGTTGCAAAACAAATTGATAAAATGCATCTTTGAGAATGCATATTAGACAGGCTGGGAGAGCACCCATACCTACTGAATCTTTTCCAACTTCAATGTGTTTTCTTTGTATCACAGACCAACATGACTTCGAATTGTACTAAAAAAAGTAATAATCCTCACAGCATGGTATTCATATGAATTTTTCCCCCCTTTATGTCATATATCTAATTGAGAACTCATCAATCCATAATCTGAAAAAGAAAAGTTTATATGTACAACTATAAAACTACTAAAAATACAAATTCCCTAAAAAAAAAAAGAAGATGGGCAACAAGGAGCCACTTCAGTTCAATTCAATTCAATCATCTTTATTATCTTTGAAGGGCAACTTTTGTGAAGCCCAGAAAGAAAACAAGCCCATGTAAAGATGAAACAGTCTGAGGTGACCCAGTGTCATACATACACCAGGCAGAAAGACATATTAAGTTAAAAACTGCGGGGACAAATAATTTTTTTTTTTTTTATCTTTCCTGGAGAAACTAAAAAGATCCACAGGCAAAGCTGAAGAATGCTTTTACAGAATAATTGGTTGCTTTACAAATATCATCTTTATGCAAGAGTCACTAATAAAGCCATTATAAAAATAAGAAATAAATCATGATTCTAGTTTTTAAAAGGCCCTATATTGGTACTGGAAACATGTGGAGGAAGATGCTCCAATCAGATGAAAGCCACAGTTTGGAGTGGTAGAAAACTGACATGGTACCTCTGAAAACAACATCCCCATAAGATATGATGGTGGCAGCATTATGCTGCGGTAATACCTTTCTTCAGCAGGGATGAGGAATCTAATTTCAGGTCGATTCTAGAAGGAAATATATGCAGAAAACTTAGGGCCAAGCAAATGCTAACTTTGAAGTATGACAATGACCCTAAACGTACAAACAGAGCTACAATGGAAAATACCTAAAAGATGTGAGAACATGGAAAGGGAAAAACATGGTGTTGTATAATGATTTATAAATATAGTAATAAGAAAGTAAAAATACTTTTTAAAAAGTAAAAAGAAGAATGGAAACAAAAACTTTTAATATTAATAATCTTTAGGACCCATATGGTACTAAATGTTCTTCTAATAATATCTTTATGCATCACATCTTTCAGAGGTTGGATTGCTGCCATGTTGTTTAACATTTACTGCAGTGAACCAGTTGAGACAGCAGCCCTCTCTCCTGAAACCCAGGCAGGGGATCTGCAGCATCATCTGCTACAGTTTGCAGCAAGAGAGATGGGAATGCAACAAACTCTGAGCAGGTGAAAGTTTGAGCAGAGCCAGGAGCTGTGGCCACTGCAGATATTTTTAAAAGGGACACTGCTGAGCCTGCAAAATGCAAAGATTTCCTAAACTCTCAATGCAAAGGGTCTTTTCATTTACCCCAGTCCATCTAAAACAAGCACTTTAACAAAACAAAACGTCCAATAAGAATCAAGCAAAACAAAATATAGACCTTTTCAAAACAGAAATCACAATTTGAACATGTTAATAAAAACAGAATTACTTTTACTTAATCACATTTTTATTTTTTATTGTTGCACCAAATCAAATTCAGTTAGTGAAAATGTCATAACACTATCTAATTGTGTTTTTATTGAATTACAGCTCAACTGAACTTCAAATAAAGTCAGATTTAGTGTTTGCAAATTTCAGTAAAATATTTAATGCCAAGAAATATAGACTTATCACCATCTCTCTATTAGGGAAAACAATAAGAACATTGGTTTTACATATTTGGTGCAGCTTCTGATCTCTTAAAGTGGTATTGATTAGTATATTTTAAGACTTTTAAAAGATCTTTCTACTTTTTCTTAAATTATAAATTCCTTATTTCTATTTATGTGTAAATGTTTTATTTATATGGCACTTAAGGTATAAAAATGTGTCCAAAAAGATAAAAAGCAAATCAATTGTACTTGAAATAATAAAACTGAGAATTCAGTTAATAAAGTATATAAAGTATATATAAGGAATAAAGTATGTAATTTTAAAACGACACAGTGAAATTCAGAAGTATAAAAACGCCAATGAAAACTAAACAAACAAACAAAACACTGCAAATCTTTAAATATTCAGGCAAGGTCTGCAGAGCAGCAATAACCTGTCTTTTATCAGTATTTGCATCTAAGAACATCTGAAACTGGTTCCTTGTGCTCTACATGAAACTCTGAGATGTAAAAGATCCTGTAAATAAATAAGTAGCAGAGTATTAGTTGGGTTCAGCAGATGGCAGCTCACACTGTCTCTGGTTCTGCTGGAGGTTTCTTCCTGTTAAAAGGGAGTTTTTTCTCTCCACTGTCACTACATGCATGCTTGGTGTGAGGGATTGCCTTTGAGTCAATGAGTTGATGCAATCAACTGGTTTTCATTAGATAGAAAATTTTGAACCAATCTGACTGGATGATCTGTCTCTGTAAAGTGCCTCGAGGTAATGTGTTGTGAATTGGGTCTATATAAATAAACTGAATTGAATAGAATATTAGGATTGGTTCTTTATCAGACTTTAAACCAGTGGACTGAGTCTGCTCTCTAGTATAACAGTGAGGGATAACTGAATAATGGCATCCCATAGATTACCATACACCCCCCTTATTGGGATCCCTCTGAAAAATGTAAAGGTCTAAAAGCAAGGTAAAATATGGATTATAATAGAAGATAAAAGCAACAGAAAGAAAAACAAGTTCTTATAAATTCTGCATTGAACGCACCATCATAGCTAAAACAACATTTGTTTTACTATTTTACACATTTATTGTTCAGTCACATCCAACAGAAACTTGTCGAGAGCTGGAACTGAAAGCCAACAGCCTATTGACGACAACACTTTTAAAAGACATTTCACTAGTTCAGTAATAGGTGGAGAAACCAGAGGTGCAAAAGTATATGTGTCTGCCCTCTGTGCCAGAAGTAAGGGCAGGCTGAGGGCCACGCCACCTGCGGCCCCTAAGGCGTTCCCTGCAAACAGGCAGACAGTCAGGCAGCAGGACAGAGAAGACAGACCGAGGCAGCGAGTCAGGATGGTTAGTGTGTCTGCTGAGAGCTGGTCTGAGAGTCCAAGCAGCAAACAGGAGCCACACAGGAGAACACGAGCCGTATTGTGGTCCTGACTGAGCCAGAGGAGGTCAAAGGAGAGCAGAGCTGGGGCCAGAACCTCTGCCGTCCACTCTGCTTCTTTCTGAAGGGATGAGGTGGAGGTCCACAGGAGGCAAAGTGCAGCAGAGAACCCCAGCAGGAAGAAACCAACTGAGGGCCCCCTATGGTTCTTCATGGAGAAATAGACAGTTAGCATACATTCATGGTAAATACTGGGGATATATATATATATATATATATATATATATATATATATATATATATATATATATATATATATATATATATATATAGTGTGTGTGTGTTTAGATACTAGCTACTAGCAGCAACCAGGTATTCAGTTTAGAAAGCAGGCCCCACCTATAAATTAAAATCTGATTTCAAATAACTACTGTAGTTATCATTTTGTAGAGGGGCATTAGCCTAAATGTGTGCGTTTGAAGCCATCCTATGTTTTCTTCCTTTTAGTTCATTAAATGATACGCACCTTGAAGAGTTTATAGGAGGAGTACAAAGCTGTTGCACACAAAATAATGTTGGAACCAGATGTGATCCAGTCCGTTTCAGAGGACGCCATTAATCCTGACACAGTTTGAAAACATCCGTTAATCGGCGAAGGCGCAGCAACACAAGCAAGATCAAAGGAAATATAAACTTCTACATCTAACTTCAGATATCAATATGTATCAACATGGTGACAAACAGGGATTCCCTACTTTAAATAAGAGAGGACGTAAGGAGAATCATGAGGGAGGGACAATCGACCGTTTGTTGTTACACGTGACCAGGTATTATGCTTAGTGCGCATGCGCAGAAAGAATGCGTTTAAAGTAACTGGTAAACGCGAAACTCTAATAGTAATTTGGACTTTTTGGCATAGGAGGGAATGCACACTTGGTAATTATAATAACTCTGTACTTTTAAACATGTATTTGGTACGAAAGGACCCTAAGTGAGCAAAGAAAATATCCCACACCATTACACCACTACCACCAGCCTGAACCGATGATACAAAAAAAAAAAAGGTGCAGCCATGTTGTTTAAAAAAAATTCGGATCTTGAATGTTGTAAAATGAATTCAAATTCTTCAGAAAAGCCAAAATTTCACAATCTATTACAGAGGAGCCTGTGTGAATTGTGGGCTGTGGCCCTGGTGTGGTAATTTGTTGCAGTGTTGTTCATTCAGCAATGGAATTAAACCTTTTATTGTCTCAGCTTTCACTTAAATGAGGAGTTGTTTCCCCCACAACTGCCATTTGTTGGATATCTTCACTTTTTCAGCCCACTTCTTGCAATATGAAGGGATAAGATATAAGGGTAGGCTTAAAGCTACAGTGTGTAATAATTACAGGGATATACAGTCAGAAATGTAATATATTATACATAACTATGTTATTTATCATCATCTACGAGCTTTCATTTTTGATAAAAGCTTATGGTTAGAGATGCTCAGGTTATCCTGAGCTACCTCTATAGTTATGCTGCTATAGGCTTAGACTTCTGGAGGACATAGGGACCCCTATTTCATCATTCTGCTTAATTATATCTCTATTCTCCAAATCTCCAGCATCTATTAGTTCAATCTCTAACGTTATGCTCTCTCTGCTTTTTCTCATAGTAGCTTTGCCTTGTATGTTCCTGTTTGGCTGTGAATCCATCCTGGAGAGAAATATCAG